TGAGAGTGCAAATTGAGATTTTTGATCTTTGGGGGTGTACATTGATACAAATTTCTATCTTTGAGGGTGCAAATTGAGATTTTTGATCTTTGGGGGTGTACATTAATACAATTTTCTATCTTTGAGGGTGCAAATTAAGATTTTTAATCTTTGGGGGTATAAATTGAGATTCGAACGATCTTTCGGGGTGCAAAATGAGATTAACCCAAAAAAAAAAACACAATTGACTTCAATTTTGTGTTGTTTAGTGAATATGAGGCCTGAATGATAGCAGGGAGGAAATTTTCCACCAGACACTGTTACGGTAATTTTATTACAAGCATAATCAGTGCTCCCATGAACATAATGGTGCATATCTTTCCTATAGAAAAAATGGTGTATACCTCTTCATTTGACATGATCAAGTGTTTCAATGTTGAAAAGGAGACAGTTCACATCATAGTTGTTCAAACTACATGCAGAACTATCAGAGTCGCAAACAACATGGTGACAAACAGCAACAACACAGACAACACCAATTATCTTTTCCTTCTTAGTATTTTATCAAACCCAAGCTCTTCAACCAGGGAAGTACCTCTGCTAGACCTTCCTTCAAGCTTCTAGGATTATAATCCAGCTCTACCTTGGCTTTCTCACAAGAGTATGCCCACTGATGTCCAAGAACATACACAGTCTGTTTAAGGTGCATTAAAGAAATATAAGATGCCACAATGTAAGGGGAACAAGAAAGGGAGAAATAAAAAGGGTATAGAAAAAAAGAATAAAGAAAGAAAAGGAATACAATAGATTCACAGAAGAAATAGATGTCGGGCTCTGAAACCACCACTTGCAGAACCCAGGGGCGATCAAGACTTCTGGAGTGTGGTCATAACGCTAACAAATCTTTATCAAAATCTTTTACAAGACTACTGCAAGAATTGGATCTTAGTATATTTGAATTTAAGACATATTATCGGTCTGTGAATTTCCAAATGCATAGTCCTGACATTTACGATGTAGAAATGCTCATTGAAAGTTCTGATGGTTTATCAACAAATTCATAAGAATACAAGAATAAGATTCGAAAGTGCTGGAGATGGGAATTGTAGACTCCTGGTGCACTTACGGTGGTGGCAGGAGCAGCAGAGGCAGTGTTGGTGGTTGATTGCTGGTGGTAGTGATGGAGATGGCATAACGACATTTGGTACAGTGTTTCAGAACAGTGGTCGCAGTGGCACTGTGGCAGCATCCGTGTAGTTGAGGTGGCAGAATTGTGACATCCTTAGACACTTCCTTAACGTGGGAAAGGGAGATATTATCACAAAATTTATTCCCTGCCGACTTGGATTTATGTGGTAAGTTTGGTTCAGCTAGGCACCATGCAATAGAAATCATCATGGCAGCAGCAGTAGAGGCAATGATAATGTAGTCACAATGGCTGTGGCGGTGCTGTGGCAGTGAAGATGGTACTGGAGAAGGCACTGGTGCTATACGAGAGGATGCATGAGTAGTAGTGCCAGTGCCAGTAGTGCATGTGGATGTTTAATGGGGCTGAGGAGTGGTGGGATGGCAATAATTTAGGTTCCAGTGGTAGTTTATGCTTTAGCAAGATAATATTGAATCATGGCTTTGAATATCAAGATATGCAATATTTTCCTAATTATTATTTTTTTTTGGGTAAAACTTTCCTAATTAATTATGTAACATTAAATATACATCACTCCAGATACTAATGGAAGACAAGCATAACAGAACCATAGGAATCATACCGGGGGGCTTATCAAGGGAAGCTTTCCAGTTATTCTGGAGAAAAGAACTGATAACCATCCATAAGCCTCAATCACCAACAAGGGGATGCCAAAACTTGGCTTTTTTGTCTCAGTGATGATGGCAGCAATATCGAAAACATGCATGAATGATGCATTTTCTCCAGTAAGAAGATATCTTTCACCCAGTCGACCTTTGTTCATAGCTGCAATGTGCCCATCTACTACATCGTCAACATGACTAAAAGAGAACTTATCACTTCCATAGCCTATATAACCAGGTAACCGTCCATTGAAACGTTCAATAATCTGACAGTACAACATTTAATACCATCAAATAGTTAGATCATACCTCAGAAAAAAATACAACAATATTTGAACAAGCTGAGAACATCCATAGGTGAACATAAAGACATTTTACATCTGTCAAATATGAAATAAACATTTATTCATATCAATCTGGGAATAATCAATGCCAGTAAGTTGCAGCCCATCTTATGAGGTTCCTATAGAGGTATACAACTTTACTCTGCATGCGAAGACGCTGTTCCCATGAGTTGTGACACACAGGGACCAACATTACCACTGTGTCAAGCCCTGCCCTCTAATTGTAATAATGACTATATTTTGTTTTTTTTTTTATCCAAGTAATAATGACCCTTCACTAGAAAGAAAGACGGCGAAAAAAAGGCGCAGCCAATTAACCCTATTACTTCCAAGCTATAAAGCACGGATACAGATATGAGATACGGATACGATACGGATACAACGATATGACAAAATCTAAAAAAACAGGATACGGATATGGTTAAGATACGTCCATAAATATACTTTTTAAAAATTTTATTATTATATTTAATATAATAATTATAATTTATAAAGTGAATCACACATCTATCAAAGATATATAATAATAACTAACCATTCTATCATTCAGAAATCATTCATTCATAATTTTTTTTTTATGCAAATAAGGGTCCAAACATATTTACTTTGCCGATCCTATTATTTTTAAAAAATTCAAGTAATACCCGTCGTATCCCCGGTGTATCCTCGACGTATCCCTTAAGTATCCTGAAATATCCGAAATTCAAATTTATTTTTTTAATTCTAGAATACTTTCCAACCATATCTAATACGTATTCGGCCATATCGGATGCGTATCCGTATCCATAAAGTATCCGATAGCAATACTTTGACCCTTTTAAAGTATTTATGCTTCATAGCTTTCAAGTAACTGCAACTATACATATGGCATCCTTAGATATCAGTTGTTATAAATGCCACAGCAAGCATACAAATATATGTGAACATGTGGGCACCGCAATGATTTGGACTACATTCACATGCAAATTTGATTTCCGAAAAATGAACAAAGTATGACTGACTTCAATCATTATTTTCGGTTAGAATAAATATATATATCCATCCAACCAACAATGGATCTAGGGGCTGGGAGGTCACGACCACCGCCCAAGGCTTAACAAATTCTTTCAAAATACGGAGAATTTGCTAAGTAGCTCTTATAAGAGCAAGGATTGTATATTATTAAGTCCCTAAATAGGATCTAAATAGCATTTCCCCTCTTATAAAGGTTCCGCACCTCCAAATTTTTTACACTTCCACATATGTAGGTGAAGACATACATAATTAAAGGGTTTGACCCATACATGTAATACATGGATCCATCCCCATACCATGTCTACTACCCTTGCCAAATCCAATTTAATCCAACTCAATTTCCAGCCTCGAACAACTAAGTTCAAACCAATATATAGATAAAGAAATATATCGCACAGACCAAAATATAAACATATGCCTGAATTCTGTCAATTACTCCTATTTCACAATCATCCACCGGCTACTGAAGAAGAAAGTAAGCAGTTACCAAACGCGCAAGGACATTTCCCACTGTGACCTTGCCGGGACCATATATAACTCCAGGATACACCGGCACTATGGGCACCCCCTCCGACGCAGCTTCTAAAGCAATCTTATCGGCAATGGCTTTCGATTTCTCATATTCCGTACAAAAGGACTTGGCAGGATGAATCTACCATCACAAAATTAATCTTCTTAATAAATAAAAAAAAGTTTTAAAAAATTATCAAGCAATAAATCATATTAAATTGCAATCGAATTCCTCTATACTTGACTCTCATCTGCAACATGTCCATCTGTTGATCCCAAAGCGAAAAAGGACGACGTGTAGATTATCTTCTCGATTGTCCCTGTCTCTTTATATGCTTGCAACACATTCTTCAAACCTCCAACATTAACCTACCATTACAATTCAATTAATAAATGTAAATTCACGTATTGTGAAATTTGAATCGAAAACAAACTTAAATATAGAGATTAAGCTTTACGGAAACGAATCTAGACGGATCTGGAAGCCAGGGCTCGACGAGGGCGGCGGCGTGGAAGATAACTTGGCAGCCGGAACAAGCGTCGAGGAGGGAGCGGTAGTCGGTGACATCACCATAGGCGAGGTCGAGAGCTCCGCCGTTGGAGGGCGGAGGAAGGGAGGAGAGGTCGCTGGTTGGGCGGACAAAAGCACGGACGGAGTGGCCTTGTTTGAGTAGGGAGTAGCAGAGTCTTCCACCTAAGTAACCGGAAGCTCCGGTCACCAATACCTTCTTCTTCATACTGCTGTTCGCCCTTTCGCCGAGTCAATCGACTGGATTTCTCTCAACTTCAGCAAAATGTTTACTTTGAAGGGCCTAATTTTTTGTGTTTTTGCATATGGAGACTGTTTAATTTATGCAGCCTGCTTACGCCAAAACGGCATAAGAGTTAGGCCGATAATTGAGTCAAGTTACTTAAATTCGACTCAACCTTAGCCCGGATAAGACTCAAGTTTGAGCTCAGTGTTTGAACAATTTTTTAGGAACATTTAAAAAATGAACTTAAAAAACTCGATTCGTTTTNTGAGTCAAGTTACTTAAATTCGACTCAACCTTAGCCCGGATAAGACTCAAGTTTGAGTTCAGTGTTTGAACAATTTTTTAGGAACATTTAAAAAATGAACTTAAAAAACTCGATTCGTTTATATGTAAAATAATCGAATTATTCAAGTTTAACTATTTTTTAAACGGATTAAATTTAAATAATTTATTATATCGTTTAAAAAAACGAGATCGACATGCTCCACTTGATTATCGGCGGTAATTGAAATAACATGGCTTAGGTAGATGTAACGGTCAATGTAGATATATATATTCATTTCATTTCATGCCTATATGTATGAGTGAATTAAAATATCCTCAAATATCTCTAATTTGATCTTTTGCGGTGATTCAATATTTCGTGGGACTATATTAATAGAACCAAAAGCTATGTAAATATTATTTATTATGAATATTTTTACATAATATTAGAATTAAGCAAGCATACTTTAATTATGTAAAAGTGTATTTTAGATATATGTATTTGTTTATTATTAATGTCGTTCTTTATCATTATCTATGTGAGCGATAAATAAGGTACATCTTTTACAAATTGTCTATATGAAACGTGAGGTCAGTGTAAAAAAGTTAAGGATCGATTTGTTATGAAGTTAGAATATTTATGTAATTTTTATTAAAATAAATAAGAATAAATGATCACATGAATTTTTCTTAAATTGAGGATAAATTGTAAAATAACAATATGATATACTTATGCTATGCTGTAATACCACCTCTCCTGGTAGTATTGAAATAGTTCAATGGTACGGATAGATCGTATTCAAATTATTCATACGTAATACTTATCTAATTAATCACACATATAATCTGAAGTGATTTTTGCATCTGAATGTAGTATAAACATTTATTACAATGTTTTAATCTAATATGACTGTTTAATACATCATATAATACAACAATTAAACGACCCCTATGGGTGTATTTGTTTGGGGATAAGTGGGATATAGAGAGATGAGATAGTGTTTATTAATATACATGGGTCCCATATATATTTTGTTTGTTAAACATTTTTAAAAAAGTACTAATTTTTAGATCTTAATACTGATCCAACATGAACAATGGCGCTAAACCCATCTACATAGGTATATCTAATACCACTTGGGAGGTGGTATTAAAAGGCAGGAGAAGGGACATCGACGATATAAACAACATAATTATCTCTTCCAAAGAATGGAACGAATGGTATTAGAAGTAAGCATGTCTATTTGTTATATAAGATGTGATCGAATAGATATTTTTTATTGAGTTCTACAATAAAACATATTACTCAAACAAACATAGAATAAGATTGCATTCATTTTTATTAACAAATTTAACTTTCCTCGGTATTAAAAGTATATGAAATACATTAATCAATCCTATAAATACCAATCGCCCAATCAAACAGGCCTAATAGTTATACAAATATTCTTTGGAAGAGTATGTCCATTAAGTCTCACAAGTTTTAAACTGACTATCAGCTAACTGACACAAAATGAATTTTTTTCTCTTCTACAGATAATGTTCCCGGTTTCACCCAAAAAATAAAAGGGGCTTGGCATATATAACTAGAATCAATACAAGTAATATTTTTCTAGATAATTTAACCTTGAATTTCTCATTATTATTTTTTTTCCCAATATATTATGTAAACATACTGGGTATTTTTTTTTAATAAAATGTAGAAAACCAATCCAATAAATAACCTGTCAACAAAAATTTATGCAGCTGGTTAAATTACACTCAAGATGCATCTAATACACAGTTCTACATTGGTCACTGAAGTTCTTTATTAGTTAGCTGTACAATTTGTCAGAATAAAAACAGCACATCCGTAGCCGCCTCCTTTATTTTTTGTTGTATTCTTTCATGCTCCGGCAGCATTTGCTTATACTCTGCAGTACCCCTCAAGACCTTGATAGTATTCCGAATCCTTGGCAAGCTTCTTCAAGAATTATCAGGTTAAAAGGTATTATAGTCTTGAGCGACGAATGCATTTAATGGGATTGAAAGATGAATGGCTTCTTGCAGAAAGGAATGGTGATCTTCTCAAGGAGGAGGATGATTTTACATCCCAATCTTCAACATTTTTTGGAACACAGACGTCAAAGAGCATTTGACCAAGTACCCCATGAGGGTTGATGCTAGGTGGGCTGGATAGAGGAATGATGTGCTCATTACGTTCATCCTGCACCGATCCACCATCTCTACCCTCGCGATATTCCACGGAACTGGGCACAAAGAAGTGGTCATTCAACTCAAGAGCAACTCTCTGAAAGCTCTGATTTGAGCTTGCTGCTACTTTCCTCAGATTGTTCAGTGGTTCCAAGATCTCATCATGCGTCCCCTCCAAGCCCATCTTCTCCCCTTCAAGTTGTCTTATTCTTCGGGAATAAATTACCGCAGCCTTTCCAAGTAGCTCAGTCACAGCAACCTTGTAGTCAATTGGATAGTGTCGATAATGACCTGTAGGACAGCAATGAAATATATTTCAGGACTAAACTTCAGCACCATGACTTGTGGAAAATCAAGGACATAATTNGCAGCCTTTCCAAGTAGCTCAGTCACAGCAACCTTGTAGTCAATTGGATAGTGTCGATAATGACCTGTAGGACAGCAATGAAATATATTTCAGGACTAAACTTCAGCACCATGACTTGTGGAAAATCAAGGACAAAATTTCGGCAAGCTAGCAGAATAGGAATATGTACAACATACAACAGGGCAACATAATCAATTATGATTCCAAGGGGAAAAATGAAAGTCTGAGTGAACTGGCACACTCATTACTTCTAACTGTTATTCAATCAGCTATCAGATTGCAGATCTGAAAAGGTTGACCCATGAGTGCCTTCAAGAATTACAATTTCTCATATCTTCTAGGATAAGGCCAAGACATAATAATATGCCAAGTAGAAACCTTATTTCCATAAGTAATACAGTGAGGAAGGTTTAGGACCAAACCAACATGAGGAGAGCTTTTCCATTTCACCAGTTTAACATCTCCCCCAAGGTCTTGCAATCGTTGAGCAAAATTGCAAATAATTTGACAGGGAGCAAGATCATCATCTTCTGAACACAACAGGAGATAGGGAGCCCCCAAGCTCTGCATAAGAATAATGGTGAATGAATAAAACAGAGCACAAAAGCAGCTACTTTAAATAGAAGCGATATGACAAGCTCTTACAATGGAAGAGTATAGAGTCTGCCAGTATTCAGCCCGCTGTGATTCGAATCTGCTAAGAAAGAGGGCATCCAGACTCAAAGAAATGCCATTTGCAATCCATGATGCTAAAAGTGGAGGACGGGACATTTTGAGAACTGTTGGGTGAAGAACGAATCGAGTACCCAGATCACTAGTAAAATCTACTGGCGTAGAATCGTAGATATGGCCAGATACACAGTCTCTAACCAGTCGGTACTCATCCTTCACATACACAAATGAAAAAATAATAAAATCTTGTTTTGAAGTTCTCTTATAATCTAATAATGGGAACCCTGCAATAGAAGGTAATGTGTTATACATCTTTTGATTGATCCTGTCAGATGGGGTGAAAAGGCTACCCAAACTATATAATAGAAGGGTTTTTTCTTCCTTTTTAGTTGGTTGGGAGGGGGAGGGGGAGGGGAAGATGAAAACCAGGTAGTTGAAANAAACTATATAATAGAAGGGTTTTTTCTTCCTTTTTAGTTGGTTGGGAGGGGGAGGGGAAGATGAAAACCAGGTAGTTGAAGCTTTAATTGGTTTACTTTTTAAATAACCACACATGTACATGTGTAAGTGCGCATTGTGTATTGCGCACACTTATGTGTTCATGTGCATGTGGAAAGGAGGAGAATGAAAAGAAGGCTTACTAGATTGACTTGTGCCTCGCACTTGCCATCAATTATCTGCAACCAAAGAGAAACAATTAGCCATATTGATGTAGCTGCACAAAAGAAGTCATATATCCTCAGCTCCTGGAATGCTCCACCACAAAATACATGAAAAACTGAATTTTTTTTTTTTTGATAAATTTGCCCTTCAAAAACATCATGACATGGGCACCCAGAAACAGAAATTACCTGAAGAACCTTGTACATGCAAGCTTTTGGGCCACCGGAAAAAGAAGCGAAGACAACAGGACACGGCCTAACTGTAAGCTCCTTCATATATGAAACAAAAGTGAAGCAGTTATTAGTTAGCCCTAAAATGGTTCGACTTTCTACCAAATTCTGAATTTGATGAGCTCGAAGTCTCAACTAATCAAAAACAAAAAATAGCAACAGATTTATTTTAAAGATTGAATTACATGACATGGAAGCTGCTCCAAACAGCAAACAAACGATATTGAAAACTGAGCAGCAAAATTTATCACCNGCTCCTTCATATATGAAACAACAGTGAAGCAGTTATTAGTTAGCCCTAAAATGGTTCGACTTTCTACCAAATTCTGAATTTGATGAGCTCGAAGTCTCAACTAATCAAAAACAAAAAATAGCAACAGATTTATTTAAAAGATTGAATTACATGACATGGAAGCTGCTCCAAACAGCAAACAAACGATATTGAAAACTGAGCAGCAAAATTTATCACCAACTAAAACTCTGTTTGCCTCTTTTTAGGGCACCCATTCGTGGTTGCAAAGTGTTTAAAGTCTCAATGCCCACAATATTGCATTTATATGGACAGTCATCCGAAATAACGATTGAGGTATAATATGAAAAAGCCATCCAAACATGTGATATGTAGTAAGACTCACCTTAACAAGCTCATTGAGGATTTCTATTGCCAATGATGAAGCTTTGTCAGGGAAGAATCTGCAAACATTATCACAATTCATCAGGTCATAGTTTCACACATGTAAAACAAAAGCTTGTCATTGGAAGTTGGAAAATAATGATCTACTGTAACTGTTCGTTAATTAAAAAGGCTGCATACAGATATCAAAAGACCTACAGAGCGACTGTAATAATCATCTTCAAANGTCATAGTTTCACACATGTAAAACAAAAGCTTGTCATTGGAAGTTGGAAAATAATGACCTACTGTAACTGTTCGTTAATTAAAAAGGCTGCATACAGATATCAAAAGACCAACAGAGCGACTGTAATAATCATCTTCAAGTATGCCACTCAATTGCTTTATGCTAGAACAAATATATTTATATGACAACTATGAATGTGGAATGTTGATATACCATTATGGAAGTTGAAGATGACTATTACCGGACAAATAATATACTAGAATTTAGAAGATCCATAGACAGATAGTATACCAGGGNTATATGACAACTATGAATGTGGAATGTTGATATACCATTATGGAAGTTGAAGATGACTATTACCAGACAAATAATATACTAGAATTTAGAAGATCCATTGACAGATAGTATACCAGGATAATAGACCCGTCATATTTCCAAATAATAAATGAATGACAGCGTATCCTTAATAGATTAAGTAACTCATTTTGCAGTATTGCAGACCCATGGCTAGATGTTCAAGAAATAAAAAGAAAGAAGAAATGAGAAGCATGGCTAATTAAGAGTAATCAGTAATGTTAAAGGCACACACTCTGAGAGCAACCATATGCATACATACTTCCCAGTGCCCAAGTTACACAGATTATCAGATATTTGGCCATGAAATGTCATCTAGTTATGTAACCATGGTAAACAACACAGGGTTTTAAAAACATCAAAGCAGTGTACCAACGGCACACCTACTTTNCCATGAAATGTCATCTAGTTATGTAACCATGGTAAACAACACAGGGTTTTAAAAACACAGGGTTCCCATGTACTAGCATTACAATTGATCAAAGGGTTTTGCAGTGTCGTTGAGAGGATGAAAATGTCATGGTATTAACAGTACATGCAGGNTCTATATATATATATATATATATATAGATAGATAGATAGATAGATAGAGAGAGAGAGAGAGAGTGGAAAAACAGAAGAAAATGATCCAAGGGGCACATATTCCCATGTACTAGCATTACAATTGATCAAAGGGTTTTGCAGTGTCGTTGAGAGGATGAAAATGCCATGGTANAACACAGGGTTCCCATGTACTAGCATTACAATTGATCAAAGGGTTTTGCAGTGTCGTTGAGAGGATGAAAATGTCATGGTATTAACAGTACATGCAGGTAGATTTATATCCAGATTACTTAAATATGAATTTACAATGGAAGATAATAATTTTTTAATTTCTTATTTTCAGAAATGGGTATGAGCATGAGCTCAGTTAATCTCAAGCTAGATTTCCAATATCCTCAGGCTCCAGTGTCATTCATTATCCTTCAAACTAGGGAACTTCAATGGCTAAACTTCCACTTTCATTGATATGCTAGATACATATGCAGATGTATTCAATACTTGCACACCATTCTATCCAATAGGTCATAACTTTTCTGTTCACATGCGACCAATGATCTGATATTGTATAAGGTGCTAAAGATGTAACCCTAGTGCTTAATCGTATAGCATCCTCATCAGCACCTTAAGTGCGGTTGTATGGCCAATGCTTCTACTGTAGCTCACACACTACATATGCATACACGAGACATACACAAACTACATCAATGCATACACATTTATGACATCCTCTACCTATGAATTCCATCATTTCTTAAACTTTAATTAAAGGGTCCCACAATGGCCAATATGATCACCCTCATGTGAACCGACACCAAAGAAGAAACATGCTATGACCACTTTGGCAACTGTTATCTGAGTGAAGATGAGAATATCAAGAGGAATATGAGCACCACAATTTTTTCTTTCAATTTAATCAAATTAAAAGTTTAGTCAATCAGGTGCTACATACTTCTTTCTAGAATNTGAAGATGAGAATATCAAGAGGAATATGAGCACCACAATTTTTTCTTTCAATTTAATAAAATTAAAAGTTTAGTCAATCAGGTGCTACATACTTCTTTCTAGAATGAACTTCTAGTGAGAACATTTTGATGACCAGACTATTATAATATAGCATCATTTTGTTTTATTATCAATTGAAACTTTTCAGTTGTAGAGAGATACATGTTCCTCGGATATTTGTTTTGCAAATAAATTTTATGACCCAAGTGGATGGATTTTGATTCACCTCAATCCTAAGCACCTATGACTGATTTTATCTAATTTCCGTGAAGAAACCACCTGCAGTCATACAAAATTTCTGTCTCCTAACATTTGTCCAATAAAAGACCATCATGTCAACTGCCAACGTACACTATGACTTCATTTAAAAAAGGCCACAAACCTGTAAGCAGGGTATAAATCCAAACCCTAAATTCATGCAGATTCAGGCTTTTCAAAATCATCTTATTAGTACACTATGGCTTACCAATTGCGGCAATGAACCAAATTCTTCTGCTTAATTAGTACATCAAAAATATTTTCTTAGATATTTTTGATTCAGGTACTGAAGAGTGAGATTGGACCAAATTAATTCAATGACAGCTAAGTACGATGTTTGGATCATGCTATAGGGCCTGTGCTTAAAAACATGAGATAAGACTTGCCAAATACTACACTATGAAATAACACCACATATACAGTGCACATCAATCCCACGTGATAGTGGTATAAAATCCATCCTGATTGATCTAAGATCCAATGATAAAGAGTACCCGACTCGGTTGTGGATGAAATTTGATGCAATCATGCAAGGGTGATTTTGTTATTCCCACCTTAAAGACATATATCACTTACCTAATCCATATATGAGGTTGGTGTTATAACAATTGACCCACACGTCACGCCTTATGCCAGCCTTGATCCACACATGGTATACGTGGAATGATATAAAATTGTTCACTTATTAACACCGGTATAAATTGGAGTGGAATCAGTTGTTCAATCCCATCTCATCCCATGATATAGCCGAATCAAACAACACTTAAGTGTTTTATCTGCNTGGAATCAGTTGTTCAATCCCATCTCATCCCATGATATAGCCGAATCAAACAACACTAAGTGTTGTATCTGCTTGGGTTAAATTCAATTGTGCAATCTCATCCCATATTGCACAGGAACCAAACAAACCCAAAGAGTTGTACTCCTCCTAAAGCCATTATTTATAGCAGAAGAGAGCATCAGCAAAAACTATCATCCAAACTAGAAAATCACAGTAGGTAAAATATGAAGCCTACATTAAATGCTATCTATGACAGACAAAAAAAATGAAATTCCTAAAATTCATCAAGAAATAAAATTTTCAGAAATCTAAACATTCTCAGAAGAATCAAAATCCTTTCAAGACATTAAGACAAAAGTAGAAATAGGGAAGAAAAAGAAAGGGGAATTGAGTCGATCACAATCAACCCCAAAAAAGGTGAATAATGAGATAAATACTGGAAGAATCTTTGACCAAAAAAAGAAATCGGAATCTGAACGACAATCCGAACAAAACGAATAAACAAGTATGGAAATCCAATCGAAAGTAAACTCACAGATTGAGAAATTGGGAATGGAAGATGAGGGAATTCCAACCAAGAGAAGAGTAAAGCTCAACGTAGCTCTTCAGGTGCTTCTCTTGACTCGACATCCATGCGAAAACCACAACTATCCCTTCGATTTTTCCTCTCTCATTTCTTCCCCAATAGTACCTTCCTCCAAATCCCCACATCTTTTTTCCTTTGGCCGAGGTGCAAACGATCTTTCTTCCAAAGTCAAAACAAGCTTTTGCTTCAAGAAATTTAGAAGAAATTGAAGAGGATTGAACTAGAAATTTTACAGAGCTGATGGAAGTAAGGAAAGAGACGTCCAAACGACGGAGGACTTGTGTTGTGTTTTTGTAGGGCCCTGTACACCAGAAGGTGACTCTGCTATTATTTTAGCAGCATTTTATAGGGAAGGGTTGATTGATCCGAGGAGTAATCGTAACCTACTCAGAAAGGAGAATAAAATGTAACTCAGACATTCAAAATTTTATATTTTTTTGGGAGCCCAATTTTTTTATAAATTTTTTAATTATAATATTTTTTTTTGTTAAGAGAAAAAAAAATTAGAGATATTAAAAAGCGTCTAAACTCCACTACGATAAATTTTCATTGATGGGATCATGACACCTCTGATCACGTCCGTTATATCTCTCAGGAACGAATCTAGTTAAACTGATATTTATGAATTTCAAGACTCGAACTTCTAATTTTATGGTCAGAGATTTGATTAGTATTCCACTGAACCACCAAACTCGATAATTCTTTAATTCTAATATATATGATTTATTTTTAATTAAATTAAAAAAGAAATTAGTTAAGATATATAAACTGTCCGAACAATTCTGATCCTAACACTAAAAAACAATTGATTGGAGGAGTGCCATTTGCCAGTTGCCTTGGCCCATATCACACCCGGAGGAGATTTTTGGACTTTCTGCTATAATTGAGCCTTTTTCTGTTTTTTTTTTCCTGAACTGGTGCTATAATTGAGCCTGCATTATCTGCACTTACTCTAGCCATGGAAAGCGTGCCACGCCATCTTAAAAAATTATAACCTATATATTATCTCTCAAATTAAGGAATTTTATTAATTTTTTCACTAAGGCGTATTCATCTTAGACCCATCCAAAGAATGATATATATTTTAATTTTAATTTTTAAATTTCATTTTAGCAATATAAATTTTTTCATTAAATAATGCTATGATTGTCAATTACTTTTTACTATTTTTTTTTTTTAAGGTAATGATAAGTTTTCCAAATTTTATCTCAAATAATGTGATACATATTTTCATCGTAAGAAGAATGAGTCGCATTAATATTCAATGACGAAGATTATGTCATATCAGTTTAGATGAAAGATTTTGTAAGAAAATTTTATATGCATAGTAATTTTTTTTTTCTTTTTTTGACCCAAAGAATATGACACCGTTTTGTTTTATTATGAGTATTATTTATATTTAATGATGAAAATTATGTCATATTATAGTGAAGATTTAATACACATATTTAGTAAGCATAGACTTATCCAATCTCATCTGCCTAATTTTATTTTTATATTTTTATGATATGTGGTTTACAAATGGATTAATCAAAACTTTATGGCCAAAAAATAACTTTTTGTAGGTATTATATAGCCTTATCCTGTTATCCATAAGCTATTTGTCATTGTAGAAAGATGATCGATGGGTTTGATCTTTTGATGGTTTGGGAGATCAAATGTGAATTTGAAGAGTGATGTTATTAGGACACAATTTGAAGACATAATAAATTATTATTAATTAAATGTATTTAATGATAGATCCCGTTAAATGAACACTAATGCTATTTGGGAGATCATTGAGGTTTGACTCTTAAAATACATAATTAGGTTAAAATTCACGTTCAACTCTGAATTCAATTTAAGTTACAAAATTACAACAAATTTGACTATTAGCCTATATACTCCATCTGTTGTTAAATAACTGTCGTTTAAAGTTTTTGCACAAGAATTAAGGAAACTATTAAATAGCTCTAGTATGAGTAAAAAATAATTGAACAAGACTAATATACATTTATTCAATATATATTGGGAAGGAAGAGAATATGAAAGACACTTAGCCTACACTTAATCTATTAAGCACTTATTGGAAAACAGAGATAAGAGTAAATTTGAAAAAAAAAATATTAATTATACTTTGGTTTCATAAAATGACAGATATTGCGAAACAAAAAAAATTAGGTAAAACGACAGATATTTAGAAATTGAGGGAATAACTCGTATTAGAATAAGTTTAGATCCAACTCGACTTGAACCCGATTTCATCAATCAAGGTTAAGTTTGGATTGGGCCTTTAGGGTCTGTTTGGTTAGCAAGAACAAGATGATGGAAAATGACAGAGATAAAAAGTGAAGTAAAATAAAAGAAAANTTGGGAGCCCAATTTTTTTATAAATTTTTTAATTATAATATTTTTTTTTGTTAAGAGAAAAAAAAATTAGAGATATTAAAAAGCGTCTAAACTCCACTACGATAAATTTTCATTGATGGGATCATGACACCTCTGATCACGTCTGTTATATCTCTCAAGAACGAATCTAGTTAGACTGATATTGATGAATTTCAAGACTCGAACTTCTAATTTTATGGTCAGAGATTTGATTAGTATTCCACTGAACCACCAAACTCGATAATTCTTTAATTCTAATATAAATGATTTATTTTTAATTAAATTAAAAAAGAAATTAGTTAAGATATATAAACTGTCCGAACAATTCTGATCCTAACACTAAAAAACAATTGATTGGAGGAGTGCCATTTGCCAGTTGCCTTGGCCCATATCACACCCGGAGGAGATTTTTGGACTTTCTGCTATAATTGAGCCTTTTTCTGTTTTTTTTTTCCTGAACTGGTGCTATAATTGAGCCTGCATTATCTGCACTTACTCTAGCCATGGAAAGCGTGCCACGCCATCTTAAAAAATTATAACCTATATATTATCTCTCAAATTAAGGAATTTTATTAATTTTTTCACTAAGGCGTATTCATCTTAGACCCATCCAAAGAATGATATATATTTTAATTTTAATTTTTAAATTTCATTTTAGCAATATAAATTTTTTCATTAAATAATGCTATGATTGTCAATTACTTTTTACTATTTTTTTTTTTTAAGGTAATGATAAGTTTTCCAAATTTTATCTCAAATAATGTGATACATATTTTCATCGTAAGAAGAATGAGTCGCATTAATATTCAATGACGAAGATTATGTCATATCAGTTTAGATGAAAGATTTTGTAAGAAAATTTTATATGCATAGTAATTTTTTTTTTCTTTTTTTGACCCAAAGAATATGACACCGTTTTGTTTTATTATGAGTATTATTTATATTTAATGATGAAAATTATGTCATATTATAGTGAAGATTTAATACACATATTTAGTAAGCATAGACTTATCCAATCTCATCTGCCTAATTTTATTTTTATATTTTTATGATATGTGGTTTACAAATGGATTAATCAAAACTTTATGGCCAAAAAATAACTTTTTGTAGGTATTATATAGCCTTATCCTGTTATCCATAAGCTATTTGTCATTGTAGAAAGATGATCGATGGGTTTGATCTTTTGATGGTTTGGGAGATCAAAAGTGAATTTGAAGAGTGATGTTATTAGGACACAATTTGAAGACATAATAAATTATTATTAATTAAATGTATTTAATGATAGATCCCGTTAAATGAACACTAATGCTATTTGGGAGATCGTTGAGGTTTGACTCTTAAAATACATAATTAGGTTAAAATTCATGTTCAACTCTGAATTCAATTTAAGTTACAAAATTACAACAAATTTGACTATTAGCCTATATACCCCATCTGTTGTTAAATAACTGTCGTTTAAAGTTTTTGCACAAGAATTAAGANTAATGCACACAGTTTCGACAGTCCATCCCCTAGTTCAAATCCAAACTCCATGCCCAAAAACAAATATAGAGTGCTCTTGCAGCTATTCTAGATGTATGATCTAAATATTGGAAAAAGAGTTATTGCTTTGAGTCATTGTTTGTGCAATGCCCGGGGAAAAACACTAATCAGCATCCAGATACAGTTCATAAACTACAGGAATAAAAACATGAAAAAGTTAAATAAAAAGAGATGGAGNTTAAATAGCTCTAGTATGAGTAAAAAATAATTGAACAAGACTAATATACATTTATTCAATATATATTGGGAAAGAAGAGAATATGAAAGTCACTTAGCCTACACTTAATCTATTAAGCACTTATTGCAAAACAGAGATAAGAGTAAATTTGAAAAAAAAAATATTAATTATACTTTAGTTTCATAAAATGACAGATATTGCGAAACAAAAAAAATTAGGTAAAACGACATATATTTAGAAATTGAGGGAATGACTCGTATTAGAATAAGTTTAGATCCAACTCGACTTGAACCCGATTTCATCAATCAAGGTTAAGTTTGGATTGGGCCTTTAGGGTCTATTTGGTTAGCAAGAACAAGATGATGGAAAATGACAGAGATAAAAAGTGAAGTAAAATAAAAGAAAGTGAAAGAAAATATATTTTCATGCATGTATTTAATTTACATGAAAAACTTCTAATAAAATTTTACTTAATTATTTTAACTCGGTCTAAAGAAGAAGAAATATTTTTTATTATTTAAATTTTTAAAAATTTAGCTCTTAATCTAATTCAAAGACAAAAATCGACTGAAACCTTGATTTCTAGACCATATTATATGGTTAGTCTAATTTGTACAAAGTTTTTTTAAAATTAATAACTAATTGAATATTTTTTAAAAAATAAGGGTATAATGAGAAGTTAGGTCATTAAACACAACTTTCTTGCTTTTTCTTGTGTTTTTTACAAGAAAAAAAGGNCGTATTAGAATAAGTTTAGATCCAACTCGACTTGAACCCGATTTCATCAATCAAGGTTAAGTTTGGATTGGGCCTTTAGGGTCTATTTGGTTAGCAAGAACAAGATGATGGAAAATGACAGAGATAAAAAGTGAAGTAAAATAAAAGAAAGTGAAAGAAAATATATTTTCATGCATGTATTTAATTTACATGAAAAACTTCTAATAAAATTTTACTTAATTATTTTAACTCGGTCTAAAGAAGAAGAAATATTTTTTATTATTTAAATTTTTAAAAATTTAGCTCTTAATCTAATTCAAA